GGTTTTGTCGCAAACTGTAGAAGTTAGTATTGAAGTCATAATGCAGTCGTGTCTGTTGTCCGTTTGAGAGACCTCTCACTAGGTGGAAGCCAGTCTGCGTAGCCAAGACCGAGACAACCACCAAGACGACACCCAGTCATACAGGCAGTCGAAGAAACAAGATGTCGTATAGTTGTCTCAGCGACAACAACAACAACAATGCTATGCTAAAGTTGACCAATTCACTAACACAGCTGTGGTGTCTTGCGACTTCTCATTTGGCAATAGGGGACCAAATGCTCAGATTGGAGGAATAAGGGGAGGGTGTTGGGCTCTAGCGCGTTCCAACGACTATGGAGAGACAGTCTTGGCAAAAGTAAGAATGCGATTAGGTGTGGTGACTAAGATGTTGAGTAAATCTAGTGCTACAAAGGTAGGCGCCATCATTTGCAAGTAAAACGATTTTCAATCGCTACTACACAAGTGCTCCTCATTAACTTCTATTTGCTTGCAACGCAACCACACAAGTGAATGCTAACATGTGCCGAAACGGGCATACTGAGCCGATAGCCACAGAATCTAAGTGAATTGCCTGGGCAGGAGAATCAAATGTTGCTCGGCTTACGATGTCATCACCTCTCAATGTTTGGGCAGACAAAATGTGCACTGTCAACTGGCTTTCCACGGTGGTGGTGGTGTTGGTGGTGGTGGTAGTAGTAGGCGGGCAAGGGATGCGGATGTTGCTGCGATGAACAGGTATGCTTGCGCACCTCAGACACACGGTTCAGCCCTCCTTCTTGTGGTGCTAGCAAGTAAGCGTGGTCTTGTGTGTCCATCAGAGCGTGTCCTACGTAGAGCTATTTGCCACCTGTCTCCACACATGACGAGAGGATCGGCGAATGCAAGTTGTTGCAGAAGGCGTAGACTTGAGTATGTCAGCTTCGCCAGAGCTGAGGTGAGATGATATGAGAGGTGAGGCGAGGCGAGGCGAGGAGAGTAGAGAAGAGGCATGAGAGAAAAGAAGAGGAGGGGCGATGAGAAGAGAGGCGACGAGGGATGACATGGCGCCTTTAGGATAAGCAGAAGGCAATAGTTGTCGGTGCTTAGTGTGAAGTGATCTATAGCAATGCTGCTTTCTAAATTCTCTTGCATCATTCCACACTGAACCTGAACGTACGGTCGAATTGCGGCGTGAAACAAATATGAAGTGCATGCACTTAGTATGAACACCCAGATTGTGTGCTTTCTTTATGTGCACCTCTATGTGCGTCGATGCCTCTCCTTCCCTTCCAAGCAACAATTTTGTGGTTCATGTGCTGTAATTGGAGTCTCTTTTCATTTTACTGACTTCCACAGTGGTTGGCTTGTTTGTGCAGACTACCGCGGAGATGTCGGTTTTGGTGAGCTACACTTCGGCATCGTAGCTCGTAGTGACAGACGAGGCGATTGGGAGACAAATGACGGTCGGTAGCCGAAGAGTGAAGGACCCACTTTGTTGGCTGCTCATGTCGTGCTGGATTTGCAGTGGTTGTGGAGAACCGTGTAGGAGAAGGTG